TTAAAAATGGCCTTGTTTTTCTGGGAGGGCGAAACCCTTTAAAAAGGCGACGTTTGCCTATCCGAACCATTTAACACGCACGTGCTGGAGAAAGGTCTTGCCCATATTAATATTTGATTGTATCACGAGAGTAATAACCTTTAAAGCATAGGCCACGCCATTTAAAGTCAAGGAACAAGGTCATTACCCTAAGAGTCAGGGGAAAGGGCAAGATAAAAAAAAAACAGAAACAATGGCAGAACACTCGGCAACATTTGGTTTGGAAGCCAAACTTTTCCAAGTCAATATTTGAGGAAGATTATCACCATTTATGATTCTTCCTTTTGTTGATATGTCGATTTTATTCTTTAATTAAAACCCGCACTTAGGAAGGAACCTTATGGCGACTTTTTGGTCCCTTCTGGATCACTGTCTTGTCATAATGGTTCAGGAGGGGCCGAAACGTCGTCATGGGGATCCTATCGTAAATGTGGGGTTGTGTTGAATTGTTCCAGCAATGGTATTTGTTACTTTTTATTCTCCTTATCTCTTTTTTGCAGCATCTTCAAAATTTAACGAAGAAGAGAGACAGGCTCGGGAACAAATTTTAGTGCGGAGCATCTCGCTCTGTGTAAATCTCTACCACGACTTGACTAAGGTCTGTTCACAGAGAAACGTTGTCCCAGTAAAGTCTTGTTCCTCAACCGGTGCCTTCGTCAGAGAGTAATCTTTTCCCAGGAGAGCCTAGTTTATAACAATACTTGGTCTAATACATCATCCACCACCGGCAAAAACACGCACATATCACTTTTCTACAGCATATAGTATATTACCTTGTATATGCTAGGATGGACGAAGGGGGTAAGATAGAACGGATGTTTATGTAAATTCAGAGACTAGGTTGGCGTGTCCCTTCTCCTGGGAAATAAGATTAGCTAGACCAAGACGTGTTGTGGGAAGAACACGCTGGAGATGACGACATGGTAGACACAACACAGGGTATATTGTGGAGACGTGTGTGTGGGTGTGTGTGTGTGTGTGTATGTGTGTATGTGTGTGTGTGTGCGTGTGTGTGTGTGTGTGTGTGTGTGTGTGTGTGTGTGTGTGTGTGTGTGTGTGTGTGTGTGGGTGTGTGTGTTAAATATATTACCCATCTTATTATCCTTCAGTTACCGCTCAGTTTTGTAGATGGTGTGTTGTAGATGGCGTGTAATAGGTGGTGTGTGTGTTGTAAGGGGTGTGCTGTAGATGGTGTGTTGTGGATGGTGTGTTGCAGGTGGTGTGTTGCAGGTGGTGTGTTGCAAGTGGTGTGTTGCAAGTGGTGTGTTACAGGTGTGTGTTGCAGGGGGTTTGTAGTGGTTTTGCAGGTGTGTGTTGTAGGTGGTGTGTTGCAGGTGGTGTGTTGCAGGTGGTGTGCTGTAGGTGGTTTGTTGCAGGTGGTGTGTTGCAGGTGGTGTGTTGCAGGTGGTGTGTTGCAGGTGGTGTGTTGCAGGTGGTGTGATGTAGAGGGTGTGTTGTAGATGGTGTGATTTAGGCACCCTGTACTCCGCACACTACTCCACACCCTGTACTCCACACACTACTCCACACCCTGTACTCCACACACTACTCCACACCCTGTACTCCACACACTACTCCACACCCTGTACTCCACACACTACTCCACACCCTGTACTCCACACACTACTCCACACCCTGTACTCCACACACTACTCCACACCTTGTACTCCAAGATAATCACATCTCCATTGCACAAGCCACAGCAACGTAAATAAAACACTTTATACCCTCCATTATCATAAATACCGGCTCGGGTTTTCCTGTGTGGCCCGGGCCACACCTTCCTGCTCAAGTTATAACTCTGAAAACTGGGAATGCGCACCATGCTACACTCATGTTAGTTTCACCATGCAAGAACCCTTAAGCAATAACTTTCACACAGGACCTTCACGCAAGAACCTTGAAGCAGAACCTCCAGCTTTGAGGACCGTCACGAACCCTTGCGGCCAAAACTGAGCAGCATAATCTAAGTGAGGAATGGAGCAATAAAATAACTTTTGGACTCCTGTTACTTATACTTCTTGATATAAATCCAAGTAATCTGTTAGCCGTATTGCGCACACTCGGGCACTCTTGACTTGGCTTCAGATTTCCTAGCACAAACTTGACCAATGTGATCTTAAACAAGAACGACCTTGACCAATGTGGATCTTGACCAAGGACGACCTTGATCAATGTGGATCTTGACCAAGGACGACCTTGATCAATGTGGATCTTGACCAAGCACGACCTTCAATGAGGACCTTGACCAAAAGCGACTTTGACCAATGTGATCTTGACCAAGAACGACCTTGCAATAAAGTTGGTAGAATTACCGACAATATGTAAAGAAAAAGGACACAAGTGCAACTAATGTGACATTTATTGGGGCAGTTTCGCTCCCCGGGGCTTTACAAACCATTCAAAAAATCATGGACACAGGGGGTATATAAAGGCTCTGAGTGAGGTGCAATACGGAGGTACCCCATTTCATTTCACTTTGGTGTGTGTAGTAACAAAAAAAAATAAAAATTGAAGGCAAATAATTGTACATGAGTAAAAGGATATAAAAGCTATTACTTGGGTAACAAAAATGGTTGGAAAAATATAGAGGGAAAAGGCAGGTTTTTTTCGGTGTTCATCTCTGTAATGTGCTTGTGTATATAACAGGAGGATATGTGATGGCAGGTTTACGTTTTTCGGGAGGTTTTCTGCAAAGACTTGGGAGATGGGGGGGGGAAGCTGCCGTTGTTTTTTTAATTGTATTCGAAACAGCGATAAAGTGCTGATTAAAGGCACTTGGTGTGGGGAAAATTATTTCTTTGTCCAATTTGGGGCGTCTCTGAATTTCATGAGATGATTGGTGGAATTTCGGTGTTGTACACAGGCTTGTTTAAGTTGTCGTTCCTACATGCGTAAATGTGTTCATTGAGGGGTTTTGTCGAGTTTCTTGCGTTGATACGTAAATCTGTCACAGCCTCCACGGGTTTTATAGGGGTAAACTCCTGCATTGATGGTTCGTGTGCTTGGGTTTGCCCTGGTTAGATCCTTATTGAAGTGGTAGAAGCGATGGCGACTTGGTTTTAGCTTGTGAAAGTTACTTTTGAGACGTTTAGTGAACCTGGCTGTTGGGAAAAAATTATAACTTTGTGGGACGGTGTTGATGCTGGAAAATTTTGATGATCTGAAGAGCTCTTTCTTGCAGTCTTTGATGAAAAAAGAAGGAAATGTAATTTCAGGGGAATGTTTGGTAATGTAAGTACTTTCCCTGTAGCAAGAACTCAGACTATAATTCGGTATGCTCTTAGAAAAACCCGATGATGATGCCTCTTTTGGTTGGTATCTTGACTGGAATAGAAGTGGTGAGTCATTTTATTGGTGGGTTCCGATAAACTTAAAAATCTTAGGTTGTTTGTCTACTGTTTTGAATGGGACGTCGGGGAAGGTAGCTTGTCATTGGACTCTTCTTCTAAGGTAAACTGCTGTTTACGTAGGTGAAACAGCAAGAAACCTCGACCCCCGCCCAATGAACACTTTTACGCATGTAGGAACGACAACTTAACAAGCCGGGTTTTAACAAACACGAAAATTCCCAAATCATCTCTGAATTCAGAGACGCAATTAGTGATCAAAGAAACTAATTTCCGCACACGCAATGCCTTGATCAGCACGACGCTGTTCGAATACAATTAAACAAAACAAAGGCGTTTTACCATCTCGAAGTCTTAGCAAGAATCTCCTGAAACAGTAAACCCTGCCCTAAATAGTCCCCCTGTTATACTACACAACCCAAAATTACAGAGAGTGAACACCGAAAAAAACCTGCATTTTCCAGTTATATTTGCCCAAAAACTTTTTTTTATGGTCCCAATAAAGCTTTAATCCTTTACTCATGTAGAATTATTTGCTTTCCATATTGTTTTTTTTTGTTACTATTTACTCTACTAACTCTATCTACACTATTTACTACTACTAAACTACTACCACAAAGTGAACATCGAATGGTACCTCACTAGTATTGCACCTCACTCAAAAGCCTTTATATACCTCTGTGTCATGAAATTTTTTGAATGGCTTGATAAAGCTCCTGGAGAGCGAAACTTTGCCACAATAAATGCACATTGTTGCCTTGTGTCTTTATTTTACAAGAACGACACTGAACAATGTGGATCTTTATCAAAGAGGACCTTGACCAATGTGGTTCTTGACCAAGAACGACCTTGATCAGTCAGTGAACGCTAGACTGTTGATCTTACTTTGCAAGAGGCAAAAATCGAGTACCCAGAAGTGACGTTGATAATAATTATAATAATAATTATAATTATTACTATCATTATTATTATTATTATGTTCTCGAAAAAGAGGTAAATCTCTAGCGACTTTAAAGGTAATCCGGTTTAATAAAAGGATTACCCAGGAGATACAAAAGCAGTGAGAAAAAGATTGCAAAAATTCGATGAGGTGGACGAAGAGCTCTTGTAAATTAAAGGGTTAGAGAAAATGAGAGAAGAGAGACAGAGAGAAAGAGAGAGATGAAATAACACAACATGAACATGAAACAAGTCTAGTTCGCTAAACTCAGGGTTTTTGGATCATGGCTATGGCTAGGGTGACACGTACGTTGTGTTGTCTCTTGAGGCGTGCCCAATGTGTCGTGGGGTCGAATCCTGGCCTGCCACAGTTTGATAAAATTGATTCACAAACGCAAATTTCGTGGTTATTCTATTTATATATATATTATATATATAAAATATATATATAATTATAATAATATATATATAATTATAATATAATATATATATATATTTAATATTATTTTTGGGAAACTGAATGTTAAAAATTATTAGGGAAAAATTTAAACAGAGTTGCACTAATTATCAGTTATTTATTGAAATATTCATTACTAATTATACAACAGGTGTATAATTATACAATGAAATATGAGAAGCTGAAATTAAAATAACGCTTTTTTTTCTCTTCAGAAATGATGAAATACTCATCAACGCTCGCAACACCGTTGACAGGATCATCAATGTTCTCAACACCGTTGACAGGATCATCAATGTTCTAAAACACCGTTACAGATCATCATGTTTCAACCCCGTTGACAGGATCATCATTGTTCTCAAACCGTTCACGGGAAATCATCAATGTTCTCAACACCGTTGAAGGACTCAATGTTCTCACCCGTTCACAGGATCTTTTTCAATGTTCTCAACACCTTCACAGGATCATCAATTTTTTTTCTCAAAAACGTTGAAAGGATCATCAATGTTCTCAACACCGTTGACAGGATCATCAATGTTCTCAACACCGTTGACAGGATCATCAATGTTCTCAACACCGTTGACAAGATCATCAATGTTCTCAACACCGTTGACAGGGCCATCAACACTCTCAACACCGTTGACAGGATCATCAACGCTGGGAACACCGTCGCACCGTTGATATTATCAATGCTCTCAACACTTTTGACAGGATCAGTGCTCTCAACACCGTTGACAGGATCATCAATGCTCTCAACACCGTTCACAGGATCATCAATGTTCTCAACATCATTATTGACATAACCATCAATGCTCTCAACACCATCGACAATCGTCAATGCTCGACGCACCGTGATGATCATCAATGCTCTCAAGCCCCGTGACGAGAGCATCAATGCTCTAAACACCTTTGACAGGATCAATGCTCTCAACCCACCTTTCACAGGATCATCAGATCCCCAACACCTTAACAGGATCATAATGCTCTCAACACCACCACTGACATAATCCATCAATCCCTAAACACACCTCGACGTAATTTGGTCAATGTTTCGCAACACCGTGAAAGATCATCAATGGCTCTTAACCAGTTGAAGGATCATCAATGGTCTTAGCCCCCGTGACAGGGTATCAGTGTTTCTTAACACCGTTGACAGGATCATCAATGCTCTTAACACCGTTGAACAGGATCATCAATGCTCCTTAACACCGTTAAACAGGATCATCAATGTTCTAAAAACCCGTTGACAGGATCTTCAATGCTCTTTAACACCGTTGACCAGGATCATCAATGCTCTTAACACCGTTGACGGGAAATCATCATGCTCTTAGATGTCTGAACACCGTTGACAGGATCATCATTCAAACCATTAACTTACAGGTTTCTCCTTATGAATTCTCTGGGTTTGACCCTTTGGAACCCATGGAAACCCCTTAGAATGCCAATGGAAGCCCACTGAGAAAGACCACGATAAAGGGCCACTGGAAGACCATGGGTAGACCAATGGGAAGACACTGGGGAGACCAATGGGGGGGATACTGGGAAGGCCACGGGAAAGCCCAAAAGGGGGAAAACCATTTGGAAGTTCACTGGGGATGACCACTGGGGAAGATCAACTGAGAAAACCAATGGGGAAGACCACGCGGAAAAACCACCGAAAAAGAACACTGGGTAAGACCACTGAGGAAGACCATTCCAACATAATTACCCAGACCAAATTGATTGTGCTCCCACTAAGGTCTTTAAATATTACGGCCCCATAAAAACCTCAAGGTACATAAACCATGACCATTAACCCTAAGGGTTTACGTTCACAAAAACCTTAACTCACTCCTGCAACAGCCTCATGAATAACTATCATAACTCTATCATTGCAATAACTTGCAACGAAGACAGTGTCTTTTTTTTAAAGGGAAAGTAGTGCCATGATAGTAGTGAGGGGATCTTGATTCAATGAATTGGAGCTACTCTTCCCAGCCTTGTTTAATAATAATAATAATAATAATCATAATAATATTTATAATAATAATAATAATAATAATAATAATAATAATAATAATAATAAAAATAATAATAATAATAATAATAATAATAATCTATGCTCTTTTTATTCCATTATGTAAATATCGGCTAAGACAATTAAAAATTTTTCAAGAGTAATTTAGTAATATTAAGTAGCACAGGTAGCACCAATTATTATAAGTTATAAGTGCCAGAAATTGTTATAAGTAACAATTGTTAACAGTGGTAAGGAGAGTGCTATTAGGCAAAGGATGAGGCACTCTACACGCACTCTGAGCTACTTACACTCATAGTACAAGTGTATACCACTAGTAAAAATGAGTGCGTAATTGACTTGGCTTGTAGTGTTACCAGGGATGGGCCTGGAAAAAGGAAAAGAAAGATGGATTTATATATATATATATATATATTTTATAAAATATATATATTATATATATATATATATTATATATATATATAATATATATATTTATATATACCTGGAGTTTACCTGGAAGAGTTCCGGGGGTCAACGCCCCCGCGGCCCGGTCTGAGACCAGGCCTCCTGGTGGATCAAAGCCTGATCAACCAGGTGTTGCTGCTGGCTGCACGCAAACCAACATACGAGCCACAGCCCGGCTGATCCGGAACTGACTTAGGTGCTTGGTCCATGCCCCGCTTGAAGACTGCCAGGGGTCTGTTGGTAATCCCCCTTATGTGTGCTGGGAGGCAGTTGAACAGTCTCGGGCCCCTGACACTTATTGTATGGTCTCTTAACGTGCTAGTGACACCCCTGCTTTTCATTGGGGGATAGTGCATCGTCTGCCCCAAATCTTTTGCTTTCGTAGTGGGGGGATTTTCGGTGTGGGAAGTTCGGTACTAGTCCCTCTAGGATTTTCCAGGTGTATATAATCATTTTATCTCTCCCTCCTGCGTTCCAGGAATACGGTTTAGGAACCTCAAGCGCTCCCAATAATTGAGGTGTTTTATCTCCGTTATGCGCGCCGTTTAAAGTTCTCTTACATTTTCTAGGTCGGCAATTTCACCTGCCTTAAAGGTGCTGTTAGTGGTCAGCAATATTCCAGCCTAGATAGAACAAGTGACCTGAAGAGTGTCATCATGGGCTTGGCCTCCCTAGTTTTGAAGGTTCTCATTATCCATCCTGTCATTTTTCTAGCAGATGCGATTGATACAATGTTATGGCCTTTTAAGGGGAAAATCCTCCGACATGATCACTCCCAGGTCTTTGACGTTGGTTTTCGCTCTATTTTGTGGCCAGAATTTGTTTTTTTTACCTGATGAAGATTTAATTTCCTCATGTTTACCATATCTGAGTAATTGAAATTTTTCATCGTTGAACTTCTATTGTTTTCTGCAGCCCACTGAAAGATTTGGTTGATGCTGCCTGGAGCTTTGCAGTGTCTGCAATGGAAGACACTGTCATGCAGATTCGGGTGTCATCTGGGAAAGGAAGACACGGTGCTGTGGCTGACATCCTTGTCTTATGTCGGATATAAGGATGAGGAACAAGATGGGAGCGAGTACTGTCCTTGTGGAACAGAGCTTTTCACCCCTAGCTGCCCCGGACTTTACTCTGTTGAAAGGGCTTTCTTCTGTGTTTGTTATGAGGAAATTATAGATCCATCGACCGACTTTTCCTGTTATTCCTTTTTGCACGCATTTTGTGCGCTATTACGCCATGGGCACACTTTCGAAGGCTTTTGCAAAGTCCCGTATATATTACATCTGCATTCTTTTTGTCTTCTAGTGCATTTAGGACCTTGTCGTAGTGGTCCAATAGTTGAGACAGACAGGAGCGACCTGTTCTAAACCCATGTTGCCCTGGGGTTTTTGTAATTGATGGGTTTCAGATGCGTGGTGATCTTGCTTCTTAGGACCCTTTCAAGGATTTTTATGATATGGGATGTTAGTGCTATTGGTCTGTAGTTCTTTGCTGTTTGCTTTACTGCCCCCTTTGTGGAGTGGGGCTATGTCTGTTGTTTTTAGTAACTGTGGGACGACCCCCGTGTCCATGCTCCCTCTCCATAGGATGGAAAAGGCTCGTGATAGGGGCTTCTTGCAGTTCTTGATGAACCACAGAGTTCCATGAGTCTGGCCCTGGGGCAGAAGTGCATGGGCATGTCAAATTTTTCGCCTGTTCGAAGTCATTTGGCGTCAGGATAACATCGGATAGGCTTGTGTTAATCAAAATTTTGGGGCTCTCTCATAAAAAAATTCATTTTGATCTCGAAATTTAGGGCTGGTTAGCGGCTTGCTAAAAACTGAGTCATATTGGGACTTGAGTGCTCACTCATTTCCTTGTTGTCCCTCTGTGTAGGACCCATCTTGTTTAAGTAGGGCCCAATACTGGACGTTGTTCCGATTTTGATTTGGCATAGGAAAAAGAAATACTTTGGGTTTCTTTCGATTTTTATTTATGGCTTTTAGTTCTTCCCCCGATTCCTGACTCCTAAAGGATTCTTTTAGCTTAAGTTCGATGCTTGCTATTTCTCTGACCAGGTCTCCCTACGCATTTCAGATATATTGACCTCTTTTTGCCGCTCTGTTATTTTTTTCCGTCGCCTGTAAAGGGAGCGCCCTGTCTCTTTTTGTTTTACATCTACTCCCCTTTTTCTTAGAGGAATAAGCCTTGTGCATACATCGAGTGTACCGAGTTAATCTGTTCTAGGCATAAGTTGGGGTCTGTGTTGCTTAGTATATCTTCCCAGCTTATATCGGTTTGGACTTGGTTTACTTGGTCCCAATTTATGTTTTAGTTATTGAAGTTGAATTTGGTGAATGCTCCCTCGTGACTAATCTCATTATGTCGGTCTGGGGCTCCGCGCATACATGACTGAACCTCAATTATGTTGTGATTGAGTATATTGTTTTTTTATATGGTGATATTTCTTATCAGATCATCATTGTTAGTGAAGATGAGGTCTAGTGTATTCTCCAGTCTAGTAGGCTCTATTATTTGCTGGTTTAAATTGAATTTTGTCAGAGATTTTTAAAAACTCGCGTGAAATGTGAGTTTTCATCAGAGCTGCCTCCTGGTGTTATTACTGCAACAATATTATTTGCTATATTCCTCCATTTTAGGTGCCTTAAGTTGAAATCCCCCAGGGCAAGATGTTGGGTGCAGGAGCTGGAAGGTTTTCCAACAGTGGGCAATTTTTAACAGCTGTTCCTGGAATTGCTGGGATGTTGCAATCCGAGGCTTGTAGACTAATCACAATGACTAGGTTTTGGTTCTCCCACCTTTACTGCTAAAATTCCCCCTACTTTCATTTGAGGCATTTAG